GCGCAAAATGCTTTCATTCAGGTGCTGCTCATAATCCACGAAGGCATACATCCTTATGTTTATCGATTGATTGTCCGATAATTTTGAGGTTCTCCTTTGAGAATTTGACTATCCTATGACATGCATTTAATATTTGGAGTGAGCATAAGGTTTCTATTCAGTCTACATTCAATGATATGAAGTTAGCAAGCAACATTGCATTGTTATAGTCATGAAAATACACTATTAATATGTGGATAGTGGAAAAAATACCAACGGATTTGTTGATGATTAATATTCAAAAGATTCAAAATATCTCATTTGTCAAATGTGGAAGCACATCGATTCATTGTACTATCATCCAAAATTCAGAAGTTCAATTATATGCTTTAATGTGCAGTGTCATGACTCCATACTACAGTGAGGAAACTGTCTACTCAAAGGGTGATCTTGAGATGGAAAATGAAGACGGTGTATCAATCATTTACTACCTCCAAAAAATTTATCCAGGTTTCATTCTATTATCAACTACTTGAAGTCGAATTTCAACATGATGTTCCTCTTACTACTTCATTGGTATATTTTCTTGTCTATTTGACATCGCTTTATTTCCTTCTAGATGAATGGAATAACTTCATGGAACGTCTTGGGTGTAAAAAGGAATCAGAGGTGTGGGAAAATGATGAAAACATCTTGCAGCTACGTCATTGGGCCTCCTTAAGGGGACAGACTCTCTGCAGAACAGGCACCTTCAAAGACTTTTTCTTATCACATACTTTTTGACTTAACAGTTTCCTATTGATTGTTTATCGTTACTGTATATTCTTTTCAGTTAGAGGAATGATGTACTACAGGAGAGCTTTGAAGCTTCAAGCATTTCTCGACATGGCTTCAGAAGGAGGTAAACCATAATATTCTTAAAGCCATTTTCCTGTAAAGAGATTTTCTCTTTGGGCTAAGAACCTCGACTGTTCTTGTTAATAAAAGAAATAATGAGCTAGATTTGCAAAAATCTCTTTAGTAAGAAATAGTTGTTATCTGCTCTAAATTTTTTCCCTTCCAAATGATATGTGCTCGATATAATTGGTAGTTGAAGTCTACTCAGGTGAGTTATGTTCTACAAGTAGCCATTTGAATCAACAGTAGGACCCGCAAAAATCACCCGTACATGTATATACCTTCTAATACATGTGTGGTCTCAGAGCTCGGAGTTCTTATGGATTTAAGGTTCCTTTGAGGTGGAAAAACTCGGTATACTTTTCATGCAAACACTAATAAATTCCCTGTTCTGTGCTAGTCTTATATGTCAAGTATCTCTTAATTTTTCATAATCAGAATTTCTTCTGGCGGCTCGTTCTGTTACATGGTAACAGGAGCTATAAATGAAGGAATGCAAAAGAACTTTTTCATTCTAAAACTCTCACTCTGTTATATCTAAGATTGTAGCGAGTGTTAATATGATGCAACAAGAAGAGAAAATATACTGTTGAATAGCTAACAGTTTTTTATGCTTAGTCTGTTTTACCAATCCTTTGCCTAGGTGCTTGAAATAGGGCACCAAGTTCTACATTCCTTTCTGGAAACTCACTGCATTTTGACTATTTATTTGCAGAGATTCTTGAAGGATACAAAGCTGTTACAGTACCATCTGAGGAGGATAAGAAAAGTCAAAGATCATTGTATGCTCAATTAGAAGCTGTGGCTGACATGAAATTCACTTATGTCGCTACCTGCCAGAATTATGGAAATCAGAAGCGAAATGGAGACCGGCGTGCAACTGATATTCTGAACTTGATGGTCAAGTAAGTTTTTATTCTTCCAAATAAACAAGAAAAACTACAAAGAGTTGAATTCACCTATACTCTAAATGTATTTACTGTTGAAAACCGCTTTCTCCTTTACCTTTGCAGCAACCCCTCTCTCCGTGTAGCATATATTGATGAAGTCGAAGAACGGGAAGGTGGAAAAGCTCAGAAGGTTTACTATTCAGTGTTGGTGAAAGCAGTTGATAATCTTGATCAGGTTATCATTGTTTTTTATCTTAAATATTGATTGTAATTTATTCTGTGCACTACAAGGCCTGATTTCTTCTATGATCTCTGTTTGAAGGAAATAT